GTTTCAGTCAACATGACATGCTCAAATAGGACAGACTGGTGAATTTGAAATCAGAAATTTATGAGGATAATTCGGTGCAGTTCTATATGAGCGTCTGGTTTGCAATTAGTTGTCTGTCGATGGGTTTTGGTACCTTCGGAAAGAGCAGTATATGAAACTTTTCAGGATGAGTTTTTGGTTACCAGTTAAATTCGACTTTCAAGTTTCAGCCAACACGAAATTCTCAAATATGATGTTGTGCCTTGCTGTCTTGGTTTATTTTTAGGATGGTCTGTTGAACTTCACATTTGAAGTTGATGAGTGATTAGGCAGATTACTATATGAGCTGTATTTCTTCACACTTAGATTTCCATGTCCTCCTATGTGTTTACATACATAATTTGAGTTTGCTCAGTGTTACTGTTCTCTGAGTGTTTAATCCTATTTAATGACCAGAGGATGAGGAGAAAGAACAGCTTGCAAAAGATGTCGCAAAAGATTGGAATGCTGGTGAGTTTCTGATGATGTTTTTTTTGTGTGCATTGGACAAGAGTATGATCATTGGCAATTTTGTTCATTGCTGCCGAGATATTGTTGTTCTCCCTCTCTCATTGTGATTTTCTTGTTTCAGTCTTTGAAAGGAGCATCAATACATTGTTTTTAACTGAAATGGTCCGTGGCTTGATGCTAACTCTCAAGTACTTCTTCGATAGAAACGTTACAGTAAGTGGTGAATTTGACATATGATGTTATCTGTACTGTAGTTGTATGCTTCCATTGACTGTTTTTATCTCACCACATTGCAGATTAACTATCCATTTGAGAAGGGTCCTCTGAGTCCCCGCTTCCGTGGTGAGCACGCTCTCAGACGTTACGAATCTGGGGAAGAGCGTTGCATTGCTTGTAAACTATGTGAAGCTGTAAGTTGTACTTATGTTTAAAGTTTTCTTACTTTAGACGATGAACATCAAATACAGCTAGGAACCAGTTGTTTTCCCATCTTACCCGAATAATAGTTGTCAAATCAAATTCCAAAAATACCAGTTACCTACTGGTATCTGTGCTGCCAGGGTCTGAGATTTTTAGCTAAACTGGAAAGCAAAACCCTGATTGTGGGTCCTTTTGAGTTCATAAGAGTTACTACGATTTTAATATTTTAATGTATCTTGTCATAAAAATATATTTGAAATGTAAGTCACTTGAAAGCAAAATCAGTTTTGTCATATTGCTGCCCAATGTTTTAGGTGCTCCTTATCATCTTGCGGTTGTATAGCAAGTTCATATAAGGTGGCCATGAAAATTTTGGAGGGGGCATTATACATTCAATTGTGAAATACCAGCATTATACATTCAATTTTGAATACCAGCAATTCATGATATAGAGATAAAAATTTATAGGCTCCTTGTCTCCACTAACTCATACTAGATTTACCAAACACTTTGGTATATGCTTGCTTCAACATGTGGTGTTTCTGAGTAATTAAGTATAGTGAAATGGCCTTTGTTATACTAGTGTAGTGGGGTAGGTTTGGCTTATGATGGTTGGATTGTTGATGGTTCTTGTGGTAACTAAGGTGGCACTTATTGATACATAACTCTGCCTATTTGAGAAAAAAACTATTGCTCACATGATATGAACGATGTCCAGATATGCCCAGCTCAGGCAATTACAATTGAGGCAGAAGAACGTGAAGACGGCAGTCGCCGAACCACAAGGTAATGAAAATGAAGCTTTTTCTCTCTTTTTTTGTCTATAGAACTATGATTTACTGTGTTCTGCAATTAAACTTTAACAATCTGAACTTGTGTTGTTTTTATCTCATCACAGATATGATATTGACATGACCAAATGCATTTACTGTGGGTTCTGCCAAGAGGCTTGCCCAGTCGATGCTATTGTTGAGGGGCCTAACTTTGAGTTTGCTACCGAGACACACGAGGTAAACTACTTGATTCCACTGTAGGTTTGATCTCAAGTTTTTGATGTCTTGCTGCTAAGCCTTGACATACAACGATGCAGGAATTACTGTACGACAAGGAGAAATTGCTTGAGAATGGTGATCGCTGGGAGACTGAGATTGCTGAGAACTTGAGATCTGAGAGCCTTTATCGCTGAATCTGTCTTCCATTGTGGTTGATAAACTGGGTTCTTCCATTTTCCATATTTTGCTCAACTAGCTGATGAATAAGCACACAATGTGTCATAACTTAGATCCCAGGTACCATGTTTTTGTACCTCGGCACCATCTGTCTGTTTTGTTCATTGCCTTGCCAAAGGTGGCACCGAATGTTCTTTAATGGGAAAATTCCTTCTGTAGCACTGAACTGTTTTCAGTCAGACCTTATTTTGTATACAATGAAACAGGACACTGTGCTCACGGCTCAGTGATTTGGTGAATGTTAACATGCTTGTTTCTCACTCTGTTTTTAAACAAACAACGTTTGAACTAATTAGCTTGCAGTAAATGTCGTTTATTTAAAAACAAACGGAGGTAGTACCAAATTTTTTAACTTGGGATGTTGCAGGATACCGTTGGGTCCTGGAGGGTCTAGTCTATGTACGTGTCTGCCTATGTATGACCTTGCAGATCATGAAGCGGCAGGAACATAAATATCATTTTTATATATTGGGAAGTCTATACGTGTCTGCCTATCTCTGTCCTTCAAAATTTGACTGGTAAATCTGAGTGTCGTGTCTCTGATATAACATCTATTTCGTATTATTTTGAATCCTGTTGAAAGTATCTAACTTATAAAATATTTTAAGAACCTAAAAGAAAAGCTTTCGTAGCTCAGTTGGTTAGAGCACCCGTTTAGTAAGCGGGAGGTCTTGAGTTCGACTCTCAACGAAAGCAAATAATTTCTTATTTTTTTTAAAGAAATCCATCAGGCATCAGGCAGGGGTGTTGGTTGCACCTTTTAAATTTTAGTCACTGTCCCATCGAATGTTTGACACATGTATGTTCTATTAAATATAGACTAATTACATAATTTGCGAGACGAATCTTTTAAGCCTAATTAGTCTATGATTTGACAATGTTTGCTACAGTACACATGTGCTAATGACGGATTAATTAGGCTTAAAAAATCGTCTCGTGGAGTACTGACGGATTATGTAATTTATTTTTTATTAGTATCCGAATACCCCATACAACGCCCTCCCGACGTACCTCCTAAATTTTAGTCACTGCATCGAAACACTCTCTTACTTGACGGCAGTTGCCAGCTATCCTACAAATCCATTAGGCACCTCACTCCTCCGTATTCAGTCCATCTATCCGTCCGTTCCATCCGTCGGTCTTCTTCCTTGGCTTCTCCCTCCAATCCCCGTTGCCCACCTGCCTTCGTGTTCTCCGGCCGTCTGGCTAGCTAGCTAGCTGGGCTTTGGTTCGCGCCATTGCCAAGGAGGTCCGGCTGGCGACCAAGTTTGTTGCGATATCACGAAGTTTAAGGGGAGGGAGCGAGCAGGAGGCGGTGAGCAAGTCTGGGGCGAATCCCAAGAGCAGGAAAGCGCATGCCGGTGAATCTGGGTCGACGAGGAGACGCCAAGAATCGTATGCTGCAGCCAATGGTGGTGGAGGGAATGGCGGCAAGGTGCCATGGAGGAGGTATATGGCAAAGCGACCCAATGGGATATTTATATTTTTTTTTCTAAAATTGGTCAAACTTGATTTACTTAAACATGACACTGTTTTAAAATTGCATTCTTTTGGGGACGGGAGGAGTAATGTCATAATAGCAATTTGTACTTAGAAATTAAAATTCTTGCATTAATTAATCACATTGGCCATGACCAAGGGCTCGTTTAGATACACATGACTATTTACTAGTTGGAGCCAAAAATTAGTCTAAATTAGTTATGGTTGACTAGGTAGTAGCTAACGGCTAGCTGAGGACTTGTCTAAGAAATTAGTTCACCTATTAATTCTTCTCTATAAATGCACTAGGGTTAATTTGAACTAATTTTTAATTAGCTATATTGGCAATTAGCTCCCGTATCAAACATGTCCTAAAATAAACTTATGAGGTAACTTTTTAAAACAAAATAAGGTAAATGAGCTTTTGGCCCCATGTGTCCTGGACTCCTAGTGACCACCTCTTCCACTCTCTTTAATCACACGTGGACCCCAAAGCTCCTGGTATTCGCTCCGTTGGTTTGGCTTATAAATCGTATTTTTTTAGTCAACGAATAATATTTTTTTATAATAAATTAGTCAACAGTACTTTCAGCTATGGCTTATTAGCCAAGCGAGCAATGCAATTATCTCTTTGATGCTTCAACCCCACACCCTCCGCCCGCACGGGTCTCTTCCACGTTGTGCTGGCCGACGCCGCGCCTGCGCACGTATAATCGCCCGCGCGCTTCGCTCCGATGACGGAGCTCGGAGTTGCGCGATTTGGGTGTAGCGTTGACTGCCGTGGCCGGGGATGGAGGTGCGCTAGACGGGTAGAGTGGCGACGGGCGTCGCAGGCACGCTACACAAGACGCCCCGTCCGCTCGTGTTGAAAGGGTGGTTCGGCCCCGAATTTGGCGAGTTTATTGGCCCCGTTCACTTCGTGGAAAAAAAAAGCCAAAATATTGTTCCAACTGATTTGTTGTAAGAGAAAAACACTGTTCTGACTGAAAAAAACAAGCTGAAAAATATAAATTATAAGAGAAGCGATCATGTTGGGATCGACTCGTCGCTTCCAACCCGATCAAACAACGTGAAAAAAGGAGATCGTCCCATCAAGGAAACGAGGAACAAACCAACCCTCAAAAGTACACAACATAGCTCAAGCGAGATACTTCAATTATGACATGCAACAACTAGACAGTTCAACAAGTGACATGAAAGCAAAAACCAACATTACCCAACACCCTCTTCGCTTTCGTTTCTGTGGCTTATAAGCCAACTGATGCTGTTTTGTTGTAAGAGAAAAAACATGTATCATGGCTGATAAGCATGACTCGACAGCCAAACAGATTCATGCAAGCAGATCAGTACTCCTCGTCCTCCTCACCGTCATCACTGCCGCCCTCAGCAGCAACCTCCTCGTAGTCCTTCTCCAGGGCGGCCAGGTCCTCGCGTGCCTCGGAGAACTCCCCCTCCTCCATGCCCCCTCGCCGACGCATTCAGTGTGCGAGCGAACGCGCGCTTGGCGTACATGAGGTCGAACTTGCTGTTGATGCGGGAGAACACCTCGACGACGCTGGTGGAGTTGGAGATCATGCACACGGCGCGCTGCACCTTGGCGAGGTCGGCCCCCGGCACCACCGTCGGTGCCTGGTAGTTGATGCCACACTTGAACCCAGTCGGGCACCAGTCCACGAACTGGATGGTGCGCTTCGTCTTGATGAGGGACACCGCGGCGTTCACGTCCTTGGGCACCACGTCGCCACGGTACATCAGGCAGCACGCCATGTACTTGCCGTGCCGTGGGTCGCACTTGACCATCATGGAAGCCGGCTCGAACGCGCTGCTGGTGATCTCTGCCACCGACAGCTGCTCGTGGAAGGCCTTCGCCGAAGAGATCACTGGCGCGTATGAGGAGAGCATGAAGTGGATCCTCGGGTAAGGAACCAGGTTGGTCTGGAACTCATTCACATCCACATTGAGGGCACCATCGAACCTCAGGGAAGTAGTAAGTGATGAGATCACCTGCACACCAAAACAGTTCAATGCATACATTTTAGCATCGGTTTCAAGGATGTATGAACAAAACCAGAGCACATATGTATGAACAAAACCAGCACATCCCCACCCAGTATAATGCAATTGTTCTACCTGAGACACAAGGCGATTCAGGTTGGAGTAGTTGGGCCTCTCAATGTCGAGCGAGCGCCTGCAGATGTCATAGATGGCCTCATTGTCGAGCAGGATGGAGACATCTGTGTGCTCCAGCAAGGAGTGGGTGGAGAGCACGCTGTTGTAGGGCTCCACAACAGAGGTTGACACCTGGGGAGATGGGTACACAGTGAAGCCCAGCTTGGATTTCTTACCGTACTCCACAGACAGGCGCAAGGAGGAGTGAACCAAAGCCAGAGCCGGTTCCACCACCAACAGCATTGAAGACCAGGAAGCCCTGAAGCCCGGTGCAGTTGTCAGCGAGCTTGCGGATGCGGTCAAGGCACAGATCAACAATCTCCTTGCCAACTGCATGAACAAGAGCATGCAAAACATAAATGAGTTGCGATGGGCTTATTCTGTGTAACACAAAGTTTTTAGATGGGCAATTACTTGTGTAGTGGCCACGGGCAAAGTTGTTAGCAGCATCCTCCTTGCCGCTGATGAGCTGCTCAGGGTGGAAGAGCTGGCGGTAAGTGCCAGTGCGCACCTCGTCGATCACAGTGGGCTCAAGATCAATGAAGATTGCACGGGGCACGTGCTTCCCTGCACCAGTCTGGCTGAAGAAGGTGCTGAAGGCGTCATCGTGGTGTCCCGCGGTCTTGTCTCCAGGCACTTGGCCATCAGGCTGCATATGCATAGAACAGAAAGGTGTTAAATGCAATTCAGATCATATCGTGAAAGGATCAAAGGAGCCTGGTTGCAAGGGTTCAGCATACCATCAATTTAATTAGTATTTGATTCAAAAGGGATGATGGCAACTCAAATTCATAGGAAAGGGAAATTTCAGTTCAGTCATAGTTGCACAGCACAAACTAAAGCGGCATTCCCATATTCTCATTTGGGATCAGATCGAAGAAATGGAAATGACATGGATAAATTTACAGTATCAGAGCTTGATTCACGAAATAATACAAGTAGAATTCAATCAACCCCTAGATGGCAACAACAGAAACAGAGATATCGCAGTTCATAGGAAAGAGAAATATCATTACAGTGAAATTACAGTTGCACAGGACAAACTAAAATTTCATTCCCCTAGACCAATTTGGAATCAGATCGAGGAAATGAAAACAACATGACTATAATTTACAGAATCAGAGCTTAATTCACGAAATAATACAAGGAGAATTCAATCAACTCCTAGTCGACAATAACAGATACAGAGATAGCGCCGTTCAAGGAGACATTTTATTACAGTTGCACAGCACAAACTAAAGCATGATTCTCCTATACCAATTTGGAATCAGATCGAAGAAATGAAACAACATGAGTAAAATTTACAGAATCAGAGCTTGATTCACGAAACAACAACAGATACAGAGATAGCGCAGTTCATCCACGCACAGAACAGATCCAAACCGACCACGAACGGCCGATGACTAATTGCGACATCGCAACCCGTCTGAGAATAGGCGTGACCAGCAACAGACGGGTGCATACGAGATGTAAAATTCGATCGGAACAGCATGTTATTTCCGCCGCAAAGTATTAATCGCAAACGAAATCCACAATACGCCCAAACAAAGGATGATTCACAGTTCAAATCGCGCAGGAAATTTCGAACCCTACTCTACTAGTACTACCAACAGATCTGACAAAAAAACCTAACCACTTCACCCCGATTCGAGTATAGCGCTCTGCGACTACAAATCGCAGAACTCCTCGACAACAAATCAGAAATCAATCGAAGACGATGATGGGGATCGCACCTGGATGCCGTGCTCGAGGCAGTAAAGTTCCCAGCACGCGTTGCCGACTTGGATGCCGGCCTGCCCGATGTGGACGGAGATGCACTCCCTCATCTTCCTCCTCTCCTCTCAAACAACCGCGCGTCGATCGGGGGAGGGCGGAAAGGGGAATGGTCGAGGATCGATCGAGAGTGGAAGCGCCGGCGTTTGTGAAGACGCCGAGGTGAAGCGATAAGTGCCGCCCAGCCCCGCGACGGCTTTTATAGGCAGCGTGGGAGAGGCAGCCGCGGCCGGCCCGTGATGGTGTGGCGCGGCGCGGTAGACCTAGCCTCCGTCTGGTTCGGGGCTGACGGCGTGATGGTGGCCCATGGCACAGCCTCTGGGTGGTGGGCGGGGCGGAGACAACGAGGGGTTAACGACCGTTTGGCTTCGAACGGCTCTGAGGCTTGCGTGATCAGCGGCCGGCAACGGTGGGAATGAGCTGTGGAGGGCGGGTCCCGCGGAGCCGGCGCGCTCGGGGTCTCGGCGATTTTTACCGGCGGCCGTGGATGTTGTGACACGGACACGTGGGACCAACGGATGGAAAGAAATATTTGGGCCCCATGGAGCATTGATGCGGGTGAGATTTGTTTGTGTGATGCTGGGGAGCCTATGGGAGGACGTCAGGGGAATGGAGGGGAGCGGCCGTTTCAAATTTTGAAATTTGAAACTTTGTATCGCACCGTCGCGGGAAAGTACATGGTTACCCTTCGGCGCATGGGCCTATGGAATGGCCGGCCAGTTGCAACCGTAACGGCCATGTATATGTGCATGGATCAAAGGCCTTCTGGAGCGTGGGAGTTAAGCCAAAGAAAATCAGGTCCCATGGTAAAAAAAAAAATAGAATCTCACTTCAAGTGCTGCGATGCGGAGGCGTCACTAGCTACCCACATGATAAATAAAAAACAAAGTGAAATAACTAATTCCTCTTGTCTTTCTCATACACAGCTCCATTCTTTTTGTTCGATTTCTGATTGTCCATGCAAGATAGCTCAGAAGTTAGGTCTACAATTGATGATGGTTGTTTCCGCTATAGACCGGTGAGAAATCAAATGCCTTTTGCAACCACATTGCTCTTTATCCTATTTTCTTATTTGATTAAACATTCAGAGAGTGATGCGACAAAGTGAAGGTGATGTCGATGATTAGGGTTGTACCTACGATTTTCAGGCTCCTGAACGAAATATGTGATGGAGACCTAAAATCCAAGACATATGAGGAGGCATTGTCAAATACGCAAAAATCTAGGGTCTATTTATTTGCCTGGACTGAGCTAGCCTAGACATATGAGTAGAGGCTGGGTATTCTCAGGTGCAACTCCCCAACCGTGCACCAAAGGGTCGCACACTGGGCAGCCATTGCTAGGGCGTCGTGTGTCAGGCGACCGCAGGCTGGAGATCGCCTTCCCCTATGCGCTAGTGACCGGCATGGAGAGAGAGGGAGAGAAAGGGAGGATAATGGGACCGTGGATCTATTCCCTCTCGCGGCAACCTATTATAGTCTTATGCCGAACCAACGGTGAAAATCATTTTCACTATCGATTCAAAAGAAAAACCGGCGTTGAAAACTTTTCTAACTTCAACCATCAATTTTAAAAATTTGTACTTGTTGACAACATAAGATTTATGTTTTAAGATTCACTAGGATGAATACTTTCATAATATATAATTTACATGTAAAACTACATCGATTTCTTACAACCTGTTCGTTTGGCTGTGGCTCGTCGTAAACGATCGTAAATTTCCAGTCGGAACAGTATTTTTCTCTCACATAAACCAGCCAGCAGTACTTCTTGACGAACCAGCCAACCGAACGGGCGGTTAGAATTGGTGATCAAAGGTTGATTTAGGATACAGAAAAAAGAATGTAGAGAGTAGAAACCAACAGCACATTCCAGCTACGCCACTGTTGTTTTTGGAAGAAACCAGAGCCATTTTTTTGGCTTGCGATAGTGTTACACATTGCACAGTGCTATACTGCAGGAGTCGGAGCAACTGGATTTTAATTGTCATGACGTTTGAGCAGCGAGGACGAGTCGTTGAAACCGGTTGCAGCGGGTGTCGGACGAGCAGGGCACCCGCAATAGTTGACCCAGCTTGCTAGCTCATGGATAGCCATGTCACTTACAGTAAGTAGTACATGAGACATCATGGATTCCTGTCTAACGAACAGTATTTGACCATCGGTGGTATTTGATTTATAAGTTATAGTTTATCAGTTAATAAATAATATTTTTTTTACATTAAATTAATCTATAATATTTTCAGTTATGACTTATAAGTCATGGTTGTTGGCAGGCATGTAAGTCTATAGTACTTATAAGGCAAGCCATGGTTGTTGGCAGGCATGTAGCCACGCTCGTGCTGCTCTGCACTGTGCTCATGCCGGTTCACTGAGCAGTCGCGCCGCTGCCACAGGCTCGCGCAGTCGCGCCGCATCCGGTCTCCGCCATCCCGCGCTCGCCTCGCATACTCCGCGCCGCCGCCACCGGTCTGCCGCTGCTGCATGCCGGCGGCCTCGTCCCTCCCCTCCGTGGTTCATCGCTGGTGGCCTCGCCTCGCATACTGCGCGCCGCCGCCACCGGTCTGCCGCTGATGCCTGCTGCACGCCGGCGGTCTCGTCCCTCCCCGCCGTGGTTCATCACTGGCGGCCTCGCCTCGCATACTGCGCGCCGCCGCCACCGGTCCGCTGCTGCTGCACGCCGGCGGCCTCGTCCCTCCCCGCCGTGGCTCATCACTGGCGGCCTCGTTCCTCCCACCGGTCCGCTGTCGTCGGGGCCGCCGCACCGGCTGTGAAGCGGAGAGAGAAGAGACAGAGGGAAACGGGGGTTCGTGGCTTCGTGTGATGTGCGCGTGGGTGGGCCTGCGTGCCTCGTACTGCGTTCGAGTATAGCGCCGAAACAAGAGCTAGCTCTTCAATTTTTTTCTCTCTTTTTCCTCCTCCACCTCAGCAAAATGATGACCTAGCCTTCTATGAGCTAAGCACTGTTGCTGGTGCCCTCATGGAAGAAGAGCTTGTCGAGAGCTTTCCAGCTCAACCCACCACTGGATCGTATAAGATTAGGACCACGAGGCTTCAATCAATCGCTTTAATTTGGGGGAACGTCGTATATGATGATGATTCACCCAGGACCAGGATGAATGAGGTAATTATCTCTGCACGTTCCTTCGTTTGCATTGCCTTTGTTCATGTCTGACTACTGTAGCACCATCCACAGCACCCAAGCTCCTTCTATTGCTTTCTCCGTGACAGACACTTGGACGTTATTGGTTTCTCTGGCGGATGCTTTGTCGCAGTTGTCGTTGGCCTCCCTCTGGCAGATGCTTTGATGCTGAGTGTGCCATGATCGTTCTCCATAAAGATGCTTCGCGGTGGTGGGAACCTTCGCTTCTTCTTCGACGGATGCTTAGTCGTCGGTGGAATCCCCGACGGATGCTTTGCTGCAACTAGATCTTTGGTCCCCTCTCCGGCACATTTGTTGTTGAGAGCGTGTTGGCCCTCTTCTTGGCGGAGGCTTGGCCATCGTGGTCTTTGTTGGCGGATGCTTCGTCGCTGTTGTTGTTAGATGCTCGTCTCTGTTCACTGGTGGGGTTCTTTGCCACCAGGGTATTGTCTAGTTTGTAGGTAACCATTGCGTTGTTGTTTTCTATTCCTGCAAGCTCAGTTGGTAGGTTTTGGGTACCGAGGGTAGTCGCCCTTTTTCGTCCTTCTTTTATTGTTTCTTAAGTCATATTCCAGGTTACTCACCACTAGCATAGTGGTTTGTAATCTGTGCTATGAGCTCTCTCATTGCTGTGTCATGTAGTTTACTCCTTTTAATGATAAGCGGGCTATATTTCCCGGTCGCGAAATATTTTAAGATATTTTAGTTTTTCTAGATACATTCAACTTGCTCGGCTGTGTTGGCTGTAGCTACAGAAACTCCTCTCACGACTTACTGTAGGAGCAGCTAAAAATGCTACAACAAGCACAATCATTGCTTTTACCATATATCTAGACATATCATATATCTAAGTTCATAACAAAACTTATGTATTAAAAAAGTCAGGACATCTTATAATTTGGATGGAGAGAGTAGCAAGCAAGGTCAGCTTTTGTCTTAATTCTATCCATCGTCGACCTTACCATCTGACACTATATTCTCATGTGTGCTACCATATTTGGGTGGTGTTTAAATTTAGGGGCTAAAGTTTAGAGGTGTCACATCGGATGTCACATAGGGGTATTACATGGGAGTGTTCGGATAGTAATAATAAAATAAATTATAGAAGTTCTCAGAAATCCGCGAGACGAATTATGGTTAAAAATTTGTCTCGCAAAATAGTCGCAATCTGTATAATTAATTATTTTTTTAATCTATATTTAATACTTCATTTAAATATCAAACATATTGATCACCATCGAGTGGGGAGTTCTAGGTCTGGTGCCCATGGATCTCTCTTCAGTTGATGGTGGCTCGGGCACATCGATCAGAGAAACAACTCTCTTGCTACCAATGATGGAGCCCAAGGCATTGAAGGCAAGCTCCACTTTCTAGTTTTTTCTTTAAAAGAAACTACAGTGGTTTGTTTCACAACACGGCAAACCGGAGAGTTCAAACCAACCTTCCGGACCCGATGACCCCGGTGCAGGCGCAGCGGCCGAGGCCGAAAACGAGGCTCGACACCTGGAGCATACGGCATACCACACCGGCAAGTAGTAGGTGCGGAGAAAAGACAAAGATGATGAGTCAGCCGGGGGCGGGGAGCCATGGCCGCCTCCCGATTCCGCGACGGCCCGCAGCCACAGGCCACCGGATAACGCACGGCGGAACCATCCAAAAACGCGGGAGCTTTTCCCCGTCAAAACCCCATCCGCATCGCGCCAATCAACACCGGGAGCAGCACTGCAGCAGCAACTCCCCCCCCGCCCCCCCCCGGCTTCCGCGGAACTAGGAGCCGCCATGCAGCCCGACGCCAACGCTCCCTCCCACCGCCTCGCCCGCGTCGCCGCGCACCTGAACCCCCAGCGCCCGCAGATGGAGGAAGGCGCGGGCGCGTCCGCGCTGAGGCCCGCGGTGTGCCGCGCCAAGGGCGGCGCGCCGGGGTTCAAGGCCGCGATCCTGGGCGCCGCGGGCGGGATCGGACAGCCGCTGTCGCTGCTCATGAAGATGAATCCTCTCTTGTCCGTGCTGCACCTTTACGACGTCGTCAACACGCCCGGGGTCACCGCCGATATCAGCCACATGGACACCAGCGCTGTGGTAACGTTTTCTCCCCCTCTTTTTCCCCCTCCCTGGTGCTTCGCACTCGATCCGTGGTACTGTACTTTCGGGAGTGATGGCTACAACCTCTGTGATGCTGCTATACAATCAGCAAGACAGCAGGGTTTGATTGTTCTATGTGCCAACTGATGGATTTGGCAGGTTAGGCACTTAATTAATTGATTTGTCACAATAGGCACCCAATTGATCAACTCTGCGGCTTTTTAGTTTTCTACTAGTTGGATTCACCAGCTCGTTATGTTATTATTATGTTACTTGTTAGTGTGAATCATTATGTTTCGCTGATTGTAGTTGTTAGGCTACTGATGTTTTCAGAACACCGTTCACAACATTGTTGTTGTACTTAAAAAGAAAACCAACTAGAACTTCTGTTTATATTTATGTTACATATGCCAATTGAGTATATAGTTCAGGTCTTGGTGTCTGTAATGCCTAAAAGAAACAGAGCACAAAGAAAAGGGAAAAAAAGATACAATTACTCTCTGGAGTTTGAAAAGAAAAAAAAATAGTGTAAACACACTATCTCTTAAAAAATGTATTTGAACTCCAATATTTTTCAAACAGCTTAAATTGATTATACACTGTTTCCTTGGCCAAAATTACCTAGGTGCAAAAAACTTCAAATGTGAACATCCACTTAGTCCAGATAATAACTCTGGTAAAACTTCTTTTCAGGTCCGTGGCTTCCTTGGGGCACAGCAGCTTGATGCAGCACTTACAGGAATGGACCTTGTAATCATACCCGCTGGTCTGCCTAGGAAACCAGGAATGACAAGGGATGATTTATTCAACAAAAATGCTGGGATTGTTCGTACACTTTGTGAAGGCGTTGCAAGATGCTGTCCTTATGCAATTGTGAATTTAATCAGCAACCCAGTGAACTCAACTGTCCCCATTGCTGCTGAGGTTTTCAAGAAAGCTGGAACTTATGATCCCAAGCGTCTTCTTGGAGTGACAACACTCGATGTTGCAAGGGCCAACACCTTTGTGGTATGAAGCCTAATACTTAGCATCTCTTAAGAACCTGGAATACTTGTGTACTCTAGTAGTAGTAGGGTCGTTGTACTTCTCAATTGGTAATTTGCATTTCTGCTTCATATTACATATTGTAGGCCGAAGTGCTTGGAGTTGATCCAAGAGATGTCAATGTTCCTGTTGTTGGTGGGCATGCTGGGGTAACTATATTGCCCCTCCTCTCCCAGGTACTGATCATATTCTGATTTCATCACATGGGAATGTTAACATTGAAATATTATCTAGCTTCTATGACACTAGGTCCTGATTTAAAACCTGATTATCTGCAGGTCACACCTCCAAGCTCATTCACTCAGGATGAAATCAAATATTTGACAGACCGCATACAGAATGGTGGCACAGAAGTTGTGGAGGTACAATGCTATTTGACTTTACTGCCTGAAGTTGGGTCTAACCGAACCGGTATAACGAATATTGCTCTGCTCTAGTCTAAGCTCTTCATCTGATATTCTCTGTGCCAAAACAGAGATGAGCTTTACATGATCGATTTTTTTGTCCATCAAACATTTGGTGAACATGCATCTCTAACTGATACGTATTATGATGTATTATTTTCTCTGCATAAAGCTTACATAGTGATGTTGCTAGTGGAGAAATATATAGCACAAATCCATCTTTCAGTGCTGTCATGTATATATGATTTATGTCGATAAATTGATTGATTTCAGTTGAATGCACTTGTTTTATTTGCCGGGGGTCATGACAGCAAGACTAAGTATTTGACCATGCTTGAGTTTTGAGGGCTAGCTGAGGTTGCAACATTGATAAACAATGAGATTCTTCTAGCTGAAGGCCTATGGCATACCCTTTTGCATGCCCTTATGCATTACACATTAGTTCTAACAATTTCTCAATATTTAATATGAGTTTGAGGAAAATATCACAGATGTAACAGAATGGCTTTAAACAACCACAATGAAACTGATGATGTCATCTCAAAATTGCATACCTGGAGTTGCATAGCCTCATGCATTATGCATGTGTGAAACTGCCACAAGTCCATTTTGACTGCTTCCTGAAGTAATTTCCAGTTAACTGAAAAAAATGTATGAGTACTGAATATTGTTTTCATTGATTTCAGGCAAAGGCTGGATCAGGTTCTGCGACTCTGTCAATGGTAGGTTATACTTATACATGATAGCTTACTTTCTTACTTTAGGTAACCAAGTTTACTCTCTATACTAACAAAAGAAAAACCTCAGGCTTTTGCTGCTGCAAAATTCGCTGATGCATGCTTGCGAGCTATGCGGGGCGAAGCTGGCATTGTGGAATGCTCATATGTTGCATCCGAGGTATCCTCACACGAAATCTGTATATTTTGTCCATAACATACCATCCTAACATCGACCTTATCTTAGTTCACGGGGGGGCTGTACTTATTTCTGTTTTTGCATTTGGCATCAGGTTACAGAACTGCCGTTCTTTGCCACAAAAGTGAGGCTTGGCCGTGGTGGAGCCGAGGAGATCCTCCCTCTTGGACCTTTGAATGATTTTGAGAGGTACCCTTGCTATACACACTCAGTAGCTTAATAATGTGGTTCCATTGCGTCAAAATTGTTAGATGATGAATTCTCTCGATCTCCGAAATTCATTGGCCTAATGCTTCTTCGATCTCTGGGGAAACAGAGCTGGTCTGGAAGCGGCAAAGAAGGAACTGCGCGAGAGCATTCAGAAGGGCATCGCTTTCATGAGCAAGTGAAGTGATACGAAGGGATCGTCCCTGAGAACGGGACCATACATAGATGTAAATAGTGTTGTGATATAGTGCTCCTAATACCTGTAATACCACTTTTGTAAGACGAAAGTAAAGAAAAGGCTAATTACCCTTTAGCAACTGTAACCATTTCCTGGGCATGGAATAAATCTTTCGTCTTCGTTAGCATATAACAAAGGTGCTGCCACTAGTAGCTTCTTCACTAGCCCGTGGCATCTCGTTCCTGCGGGAAATGGTCGGGTCTCGCGTGTTCGCCGAGCCGAGGGACTCAGACTCAAGAGGCGCCGAGTTGGAGTGGTGGTACATTAGCTATGTGTTTGGTTCGAGGACCAAGTGGTTGGGTTGTGTCTAACCGAGTTTTTAGGGATGGGTTGGACCCATTTCTTGTTTGGTTAGGGGTTAGTTTATGGGTCGAGAAGGGTTGAACCGCTGACACATGGAGCCCACATGTCATCTCCTGCTCTGCTCCACTCCCCGCACGTGCGTATGAGTATTGAGTATGATCGCGATGAGTATTGAGTACGTGCCTACGTGCGGTGCCGATTGCAACCGGCCACGGATGAGTTCGTGACTACGTGCCGACGGTGCCGTGCCTGTTGTGTGCTGTGCTGGACGGTGGGTGAGCCACGGCGCCGCAGGAACAACAGATTAGCAGTGGAGACTGGAGAGTCGTGGTACGCGAACGCGACGACGATTGCCAGACCTAATAAAACCTATATAAGTCAGGCCACTATGGGCTGTCGTAGAGGTGGTAGTGTATCTCGGCCCAACTAGTGGGCCGTTGTAGAGGTTGCTGTGTATCTCGGCCCAACCATAAAAAAAAGCCATCCAGTATTCCAGTTCCAGAAATTCTGAACTCTGAAGCCTAATTTTGAATTGTCATCCAACTCGCAATTTTCACATGAACCGCTGTTGCGTCTCGCGTAAGATTCCAGATAGCGGGTATAGCATGGCTCTAGCTCTGCAATAGTGGACCTGTTCTCGTCCTGTCGGTCAGCCCCAGGCCAGCCACGACCAGGACAGAGAGCACAGATGCTTTTGTTTGATTCACTAGACCAAATGAGCCAGGCTGTGCTGAGATTGTGTTTGTTTTTGGATACGGCTACCTTGCATCCAGGAAGAGGTAGCGTTACCACCCATCCTACCCTTGCTCTTTACTCAGTCATTTCGTCGAACACATGCTAGGCCACCTGCGTAGCCACGCCGCTTTGCACGCGCAGCCGCGGCTCCCTGCTCCCCACACGCAGCTCGCAGTCGCACAGGCACAGGCACAGGCACAGCGCAGCGAGCACCTCCATGAAGGCGGCGGCGGACTCGGCACTGGCGTTGACGGCGCGCGGCCAGACGCGGTGGCGAGCGTGCGGGAGGCAGCTCCCCCAGAACGACAGGCTCACCATCACGGTCCCCGGCGTCGCGCTCGCGCTCGCGCTCGCCACCGTGTCGTACCTCTGGGCCACGCCCGGCGTCGCGTCGGGGTTCTTCGACATGTTCGTCCTCACCTTCGCCGAGCGTGACGTGGATGTGGCCACCATGTGCTGATTCCTCGAGCAGGATATGCCGGAAGCGGGGGCGGCATCGCGCAACGGAGAAGAAAAGGAGCGGTGGGGAGCGGTGGGTGAAACAGACGGACTCGGGAGGTGACTCGAAGCCGCACGCGAGCGCTCACGCCGGCCTGGCCACCGAGAAACAGACCTTTTCTTCGTTGCCTGGGAGCCATGAGAGAGAGAGAGACAGGGTCTTTTGCAGCTGGCGAGCCGGGCTCGGTCACGGGCCAAATGAATCAAACAAGCGAGGTCGCAGCCCCGAAGCGCAGGGACACCCCAGGGCTCCATATCAAACAGGCCCGGTATTTTCGCGGAGCCAGGAGCTATGACATTGGTGACATGTTCCGCAGTCGTGTGGTAGGAAGTGTGTTAGTGAAGCTACGCCCGGGGAGCACGGTACAAGAAATCAGAGTCCCTGTTTATTCTTGCAGTGGGTGTTCTGCAACCTCGTGGTGTGATAGTGGAGGTACAGCCTGAGAGCACGGTATGAGAAATCGGATATGTTCCGATGTCTGGCACCTTCTGGTTATTCTATTGCGGGTGAAGTTGTTTAATTTTTAATGCATGACGCTCACCTAATTCAGATCTTTAAGAGCTTCATTTATGCAAGTAGGCTCGATACAAAAAAACAAAGGAGTGGTGTTTAATAAATGAAGTAATTTTTTGGAGAGCGAGTCATCACACCCCTTGAAAGACTCTCGATGATGAGATCTTGTGGGTGAGCGTGAAGCAGTGGCGTGCTTCTTCTATCAACCACATGGGGGGAAGTTGTAAAGCATCAACATCTTGAGTCTGTGCCACCATTTGATCTTGAGAAACATATGGATCTTCATTTGGTTGTCGTCTTCCGTCTTTGTCATCATCTTGTGACACATTTGATGAAGAGGGCATATCAATCACTTGCACATCATCTTTATCTTCTTTGGGTTTTGATGGCTCCAATCAACATGTTCTTTATAGTCTTCTTCAATAGTTCATCACCTATATTATCAAGATTTCCATGTACTCCTTACAAACTGTTAGATTCATCAAACTTCATATCATATGTTTTCTTCTACTGAGCCAGTTGCATGGTTGAATACTCGATATGTTTTGGACTTCAATGAATAACTAAGTAAGAAGCCAATATCATGATGTCTTAAAAACTTTTATAGGTGTTACCGTTTCTGATAGATGTAGCATTTACCACCAAACAAAGCGGAAGGAAAAAAAAATATGGTGAGCATAGCAGCGTAGTTTTCTTCCGGAGTTGCTCATTTCGCTAGGAAAAGACTACTTCGGAGAGAAACGTATCCTGAAGATGACCCCAGCTGATGACTTCGGTGTACTTAGGTTTCAAGTGGGATGCGTGTGTGCGAAACACTAGAAAACTCTGCTGTAGCTTAAGCGAATAAAGCTTCGTCACTTCTAGACTGAGGCCTTTTAGTTCCGCAAAATTTAGGAATTTGGCTACTTTAGTACTTTTGTTTTTATCTGGCAATTATTGTTTAATCATGGACTAATTAGGCACAAAACATTCGTCTCGCGATTTTTCATCAAACTATACAATTAGTTTTTTTTTCCCTCTATATTTAATGCTCCATGCACGTATCGCAAGATTTGATGTGATGACTACTGTAACACTTTTTGAGAAAACTTTTTGAACTAAACTAGGCCCGAGAGTAAGACAAGAGACATGCATTCGTCACGGACACCGAGATCGCCCACCGTCCCGTCACCTGCGGCAGCCTCAAGGCCATCACCGAAGCAGAGCTGAACTACCCGTCCCTCGTTGTCAACCTGCTGTCCCAGCCCATCACGGTGAACCGCACGGTGACCAACGTGGGCAAGGCAAACTCCGTGCACACCGCCGTGGTGGACATGCTCAAGGACGTGTCGGTGATCGTGCAGCCGCCGATGCTCCGGTTCACGGAGCTGAAAGAGAAGCAGAGCTTCACGGTGACGGTGCGATGGGCGGGGCAGCCCAACGTCGCCGGCGCCAAGGGCAACCTCAAGTGGATCTCCCTTGTGATTCCAGCCAAGGGAGAGTAGCACGGGAGCAGCGGCCCGGCAGCAGGCTCTTTACGTTGCTCGTGGTGTTCAGAACGCTAATTTTGCAACCATGGTACAGAGTATGTATAGCGTCTCTAGGCTACGGCACATGCACGGCATGTTTGTATAGACTACGAAACTGAGGAGTGGAATTTCTCAGCTGCGATTTTGTTCTGTAAATAGCTGGATCCTTGGGATATGAAAATGCATTTTGGCCCAGTGGATTTGGGCGAGGCTTGGGCGGCCAGAGCTTGCAGCGTAGGCGCAGAATGCGGGCAGCGCACAGGTGTGGCCCGGCCGGCTTGCCAACAGCGGGGAGGCACATATAGGCATGGTGCGAGTGAGGCCGGCATCGAGGCGCGTGGGCCGGCGATGGCACTGGCACTGCATGCGTGGTGTGGCCGGAGGGCGGCGCGATGGCATGCAGATGCGGCGGCTGGTGCAAGGACGTGAGGGGTTAAAAGCAAAAGTAAAAGACACCGTCAGCGCCACCGTGGCAATGCCGTGTCGGATAAATTGCTGATGTGGTCGATATGGACATGTGGTGTATCATTTAACAAGTTTAGTCAGCTGAAAATGTATTTTCATAGTTTGTGGATCTAAGTGGCACTCTTAACAAGTTCAGGAACGTCCATAAAGCTTGGCAGGAATTTGACAACCAATATTTCATGCTTCGACCGTTGAGTTTGCAGCCATGGTTCCAACTAGGGCTACCTCTAGGCTCTAGTAAAGGTCACCAACATCATGTGACCAGGACAAATATTTATTCTCTGTTCTGATTTCTGAATGACTGGAATATATTTCTATCTTCAGTTGCTGATCTATGAATAGATACGAATGCTCGTTATGGACATGATTATGTTGGCTGATTGAATTATTGTGAAGTAATGGATTTGTAGATGTGTACTTGTACAGCTCAGAATATGTATTTGAGTATCTATGTTAAATAAATTTTTCATAGCTTGACATATTTCCGTTCATAAATAATTAAACATTTTCATATTTTTTCAACAAAACCGCTAACGGAAAACGTGGACCACATATCCTGCTATATTTTTGTTATAGCATTCAGAGGAGACAGTCCTAAACCTTTTACCGTTCTATTTAAAACCCTTGGTCGTCTTGCGTGTAGCGCCTTCGTGTGTCTTCCTCGATGTACAATGGTATACACACTATACACTGCACATTTCCACTAAATATTTCCGTATGATGTACTTCCTCCGTCCCTACAACATCACAATTCTAGTTTTAAATTTAGACAAGCATTTTTTTAATTCAAAGTTAGACCTGTACTCCATCTATTCCAAATTATAAGATGTTTTGGTATTTCTAAATTCATAGTTTTTACTATTTATTTATATATATATTATGTCTAGATTCATAACAGAATATATGAATTAAAAAAACAAA